ACTATACCCACAGTTAAAAGTAGTGAATGAGCTAAGCCTATTCCTTGTGAAGTCAGATCTGGTTACAGTGACACAACATAAGGTCTGATTACATCCTGTTTGAATGACTATAATGCCATCTATGTGGGCCTGCCCTTGGAAAGTTTTCAAAAATGTCAGGAAATAAAAAATGATACAGACAGACTGTTGACCGGAGCTGGTTACAGAGTATATATAACTCCTTTGATAGAATAGTTGCACATTTTATTAATGTGTCCATTAATAAAATCATGGCAGGAAATATAATCCAACTATTAGAGTGCTATCAAAATGTCTTACTGCTGGAGGAAAAGTACACATCTCCAAATCAACTCGAAAGCAAGCTATTCATTACCAGATACAATTCAAAGTGTTCGGCCTAACCTCTCACACTCTATATGGCAGTGGTTCTCAACCTGTGGTCTCCCAGATGTTTGGGTTTTCAACTCCCAGAAATCCTAACAGCTGGCAGACTGGCTGGGATTTCTGGGAGTTGTAGGCCAAAACACCTGGGGACCCACAGGTTGAGAACCACTGCTAGATGGCTTTGACCCAGGTTATATGAAGGTTTGTAGATGCCTTCAATAATCCAACATACAGGACAACATAGTGGTTTTTTCCATTGGACTAGGACAGTGGATCTTAGTCTGTGGGTCCCCAGGAGTTTTGACATACAACTCCCAGAAATCCCAGCCAGTTTACCAGCTGTTAGGATTTCTGGGAGTTGAAGGCCAAAACATCTGGGGAACCACAGCTTGAGAACCACTGGACTAGGACTTTGCAGACCAGGGTTCAAATCCCTGTTCAGAAATGGAAACTCACTTGGGCAAGTCACTCTCTCAGTCTCAGGGAAAAGGAAAAGCAAACTCTCTCTGATAAAATCTCACACAGAAAACCCCATGATAGTGTCACCTTAGGGTTGCCATGAGTCATGAACAACTTGAAAGTACATAACAACATATGAGGCTGTTTGAGTTTTGAGATTCCCCTTTTTCAGCCCCACCAGTGTCACAAGGTTCATCTGGTATGAACATGTGAAAGGAAATTCTTGGGAAACTCTTCCCACAAGAGGTATCATGGTCTCTCCTGTATTTAGAAGCATGAATTCTCAGGTTGGATCTACACTGCTCTCTCTCCCAGGATCTGATTCCAGATTATTTGCTTTGAACTGGATTATATGAGTCTACACTGCCAGATAATCTGGGATAAACATGTAATCTGGAATCAGATCCTGGGATATAGGGCAGTGTAGGCTTTTCAAATACTTAGATGAAACTTTATTGTTCTGTAGTTCCTTCCTTGTCCAAGGTCACAGTTCAACACAATAGACAAATGGGGTGAACTCCTTAGACTGAAGCCCCTTCTACATTGCCATATAATCCATATTGTCAAAGCAAAATAATCAACATGATCTGCTCTGAAATGGATTATATGAGTCTACACTGCCAGATAATCCAGTTCAAAGCAGATAATCTGGATTTTATATGGCAGTGTAGAAGAGGTTCTGGCCAAGGATGTTCTAACAAACTCAGATTGGATGGAGAAATGCATCTGCTGCAAACATTACAAACTTTTCATTGAAGGGAAAGGCCTTACATTGCAGGGGAAAATCTTCTTATTCAAGATGTTTTTAGCAGTACACTCTTGCTTATCCAACCATTGCTCATCCAACATTCTGTATTATCCAACTCAGTCTATCTCCCGCCCAGATCTAATCCATTGCAAGGTTTTGGTGCTAAATTTGTAAATACATCATATTACATAGTGTTACAGTGTATTGAACTTCATTTTCTGTCAATTTGTTGTAAAATGTGATGTTTTGTTGCTTAATTTGTAAAATCATAATGTAATTTAATGTTTAATAGGCTTTTCCTGAATATCTCCTTATTATCCAAAATTTTTCCTTATCCAACATTCCACCGGCCTGTTTATGTTGGATAAGCGAGACTACTGTATTTTGTTCTGGTTTTCATTCTGATTCATCTTGTGAAATGACTAGGGTGCCATATTAAAAGAAAGGAGAAATACATATATACATTATTATTTTATTATTAAGATCCAGCTTTTCATGTGTGTTCAACCATAACTTCCATCACTTTAGCCCTATTAATACAGTGAGACTTGCTTCTGCATAAACATGCATAGAATTCCACTGTAAATGGATAGAAAAAGAAATCAGGCATACACTTATTTCTTTTTCTATCCAAGCACTTTTTTTACACAACTATAACATAAAGAACAAATGCATCAGGTAAGTGTGTTGATATGTAAAGTAATGAAAACATTTTATGAAAAAGATGGGGACAATATTAATCATTTATAACTCTGTCGTTAAAAAAATGCCTTTATGGGACATAATTTTACAATCATAGAAGCCATTGAAATCCACAAGCATGTGGACAATTTCAACACAAAGGAAGAAACCATGAAAATGGACAACATCTGGCCACCAGTATTTTAAAAACCTCTAAAATCATAACAATAAATTATGAACAACAGAGGAATTCCAGATAAGAAACAATCAGGACCAGTGAATCACCTCCCAACAAAGGATTCCCCCAGGCAGTAAGAAGCCAGACCTTAAAACTGCCATTAAATGTTAATCAAGGTGACCAAGTGCAACATTCACACCTATCTCAAAACAGGCAAGAGTTCTTTCTCCCACCCTGGAAATTCCACAGATATATAAACCCCATTTTCATAGTTTCCAACAGATCTCACAACCTCTGAGGATGCCTGCCATAGATGCAGGCAAAACATTGGGAGAGAATGCTTCTGTAACATGGCCATACAGCCTGGAAAACTCACAACAACCCAACTAGACAAGAGTTTGCATATATTAGTAAACTAAATGTCACTTCCATTTTGAATTGAGGAATAGCTGCACACTGTCAGATTTAAGTACAGTATATGTACATGATATTTTGATAGATTACTATTTTATCATTAAACTAGCTGCCCCGTGCCATGTGGTGCTGTGGCCCAGTCTGGTGATATGGAAAATAAAGTAATTGGAAAGTGTGGTTTCTAATATATGTAATTTCTTGATGCTTGTGGGTAAACAGTATTTCTTGCTGTTTCTTTGTCAGTGTTGATGTGGAGATTGTCTGGTTTGCCTACTCTGGAGCATGAAACATATAATTGTCCTTCTTTAGGGGTCCCTTTCAAATCCATGATACTGTGTGTGTGTGTTTGTGTCATATATATCTATGGCTGGATGGCTCTTTGTCAGGAAGACTTTGTAAGTTTTCTTGCCCTGGTGAAGGGAGTTGGACTGGATGGCCTTAAATACTGTATTTTCTGTTGGTTATGGGGGTTCTGTGTGGGAAGTTTCCCCCAATTCTGTCATTGGTGGGGTTCAGAATGCCATTTGAGAGTAGGTGAACTATAAATCCCAGTAACTACAATTTCCAAATGTTAAGGTCTATTTCCCCCAAACTCCATCTGTGTTCATATTTGGGCATATGGAATATTCGTGCCAAGTTTAGTCCAGATCCATCATTTGAGTCCACAGTGCTCTCTGGATGTAGATGAACTACAACTCCAAAACTCAAAGTCAGTGCCCGCCAAACTTTCCCAATTTTTTCTGTTGGTCGTGGGAGTTCTGTGTGCCAAGTTTGGTTCAATTCCATCGTTGGTGGAGTTCAGAATACTCTTTGATTGTAGGTTAACTATAAATCCCAGCATCTATAACTCCCAAATGACAAAATCATGGGTTATTAGGTGTCCTGTGGCCAAATTTGGCAGCAATTCGTCCAGCAGTTTTTGAGTTATGTTAAGCCATACATTACATTTTTATGTATACGGAAGGGGAAAAATCCAAAAATAAAAATCTATTATCTGGATTTTCATAGATAAAATGCATATGTAGGGACAGTGTTAAATGCATGAAAATAAAGTTTAGGCAATGTTTTCCCCAATTATGGAAAATTCAAACATAGAACACACAATGTGCCTCTCTGTATAAAACAAGATTTGTGTTGTGTTTATGGACTATAGTATCTTAAACAGCAAGGTTAAATGTGAGATATTTCTATGATTTTATGTCAGATTGTAGCTGATATACCCAGCTATTACATTGACAATTAGGTTACTGCTTTGTTTGCCCATGAAATGCTAATATTGAAACATGTCTCCTAAGAGATTACGGATAAAAGTTTGTCTACCAACAACTTCCGAATCCTCAGACAGTATGAGACATGGTTGCTGGGCTTTCTGGGACTTACAGAGTTTGCAAGTAACATTTCCAAACTGTGTGTACATTATTTGTATCTACAGTAGTCTCTCACTTATCCAGCATAAATGGGCCAGCAGAATGTTGGATAAGCGAAAATGTTGGATAATAAGGAGGGATTAAGGAAAAGCTTATTAAATGTCAAATTATGTTAAGATTTTATGAAGTAAGCACCAAAACATCAAGTTTTACAACAAATCAACAGAAAAATCAGTTCAATACATGGTAACGTTCTGTAGTAATTACCATATTTACAAGTTTAGCACCAAAACATTGCAATTTATTGAAACAGCTGTGGATCCAGTCAGGAGGCAGACTGCGTTGGATAATACAGAATGTTGGATGCGCAAAGCTAGGATAAGCGAGACGCTACTGTATTTAGAAACCAACCGGGCTCAAATGAGTTTGCTTGAAGTAGGAATAAAGCCTTTAAACCCATGATATACTAGGGCAAGGGAGCTTAAAGGGGAACCCCATGACTCACCGTGGATCAGTAAAAAAAAAAGTGACATATTTCCAGATCTTAGCACATCTCAAGATCGGTAGTTGAAAATGGATCCATGGAAATAAAAGCTAGCAAACAGTTGTGAAGCAAAGCTGAAAGAAGCAGTGCAAGTCTATACAAATTGCCTTTGCAAGGACCAGCTTTTCTGGGTGTGACACTTCAAGACAGTTCTCCAGCCCTTGGGCATAAAGTGTTTCTATATGTATTTTTTCTCAGCAATGTAAAGAGCATGTTCCTACTTACCACAGTAGAAAGGTCTTTCATTCAGCAGCAGAAATAAGGACAACACAAAGTTATACTTCTGCATGTTACCTCCTCCGTGACCAGGTAAAACACTGCTTTCATTCTCCCTTAGCTTTTCAGAACATGTACATTTCCTGTTTCCTGCCTTTGTGGTAGATGTGTAAGATGCCTTGAGGAGATGCACTACGTTTGATTGTTTTTAGGAAGTGATGTAATTTGGTTTGAGCCTGTCAAAGGAACAGGGATTGCAAAAGGTTGCTCCCAAAACACTGACTCAGCTGAAAAAACACCAAGGAGATCTCTTTGTGAGAAATCATTTTGCAACCCTGTCCTGTTTGCAAGACTTGACTCTTTCTCAACCAGATCATAATACCACAAGTCACCTCCCTCTAACCAAAAGAAAAATACATTCTCATTGTGGCACTACAGATATGCTACACTGACACTGAGATTTCAGAAGTCCTATTCACAACCAAAAAGCATGTCTGCCCAGCTACCTGTGAGTATTTGTGTTAGGAAGTTGAGAGCTCCTCACCTATACCAATTTAAAGGAATGTATTCCCATTGGGTTTCCACCTTCTTCATTGATATAGTTAAGTTGTTTTAAACAGTTCTTGACCTGAAAGGTATAAGACAAAATAATTTACATACATTAAATCCAGCCATTCCTGAAGTCATAGATATTTACAAATGGCTACCTTGTCAATCCTGTTATTAATATAATAATAATAATAATAATAATAATAATAATAATGAACCAAATATGGATCGTCAATGTTGCAATCCCTGGTGACAGCAGAATTGAAGAGAAACAACTGGAAAAGCTGACATGATATGAGGATTTAAAGACCGAACTGCAAAGACTCTAGCACAAGCCAGTCAAGGGGATCCCAGTGGTGATCGGCACACTGGGTGCAGTGCCTAAAGACCTTGGCCTGCACTTAAACACAATCAGTGCTGACAAAATCACCATCTGTCAGCTGCAAAAGGCCACCCTGCTTGGATCTGCACTCATTATTCACTGATTCATCACACAGTCCTAGACACTTGGGAAGTGTCCGACGTGTGATCCAATACAACAGCCACCAGAGTGATCTTGTTTGCTGTGTACGAATCTTGTTGTGTTAATAATAATAATAATAATAATAATAATAATAATAATAATATCGGTAAAGGTTTTCCCCTGACATTAAGTCCAGTCATGTCCGACTCTGGGGGTTGGTGTTCATCTCCATTTCTAAGCCGAAGAGCCAGCATTGTCCATAGACACCTCCAAGGTCATGTGGCCCGCATGACGACATGGAGCACCATTACTTTCCCACAGAAGTGGTACCTATTGATCTGCTCATATTTGCATGTTTTTGAACTGCTAGGTGGGCAGAAGCTGGGGCTAATAGTGAGAGCTCACCCCACTCCCCGGTCAGCAAGTTCAGCAGCTCAGTGGTTTAAGCTGCTGCACCACTGAGGGGCCTTATCTTATAGTGGAGTTTCTATAATAAAGCTCAGGGTTGTTTTTTTTTCAAGCCATTGTCTTGTTTGCTCCTTAAGTCAAGATCTCTAACTACTGAACACACCCTAACATCTCTAGCAGAGATTTCTAAGTACTACAAGAAACTATACATGCCAGGACACTGTAGAGATAGAGCCGTGACAATGTACTATAGCACTATAATGTAGGGATAGATGGACCAGTAGTCTGATTTAGTATAATTTTCAGTGCTTCTCTGTTTCCAAGGCAGCTTTCCATCTTAATATTATACAGCACAGGTTTGCCAAAACAAGCTTACACCATTGCCCATGAAAGCATGTAATTTCTAGGGTTTCAGATGTTTCACAAAATGCCAAAAGGTAGGGTCATTTTTAGCATATCCTAATCACTTCTCAGAGACTTGTCACCATATGGTTAAACGCAATGATGACAAGTGATCCTTTAGGGCAGTTTAATATCCAGGGGAAAAGGTGTGAGCAATTGTGTGGTGATACATATTGATTTACAAGCAGTGCCAGCTTTAGACGATTTCACACCTTGCTCATCTTATTGCTGCTGCTGTTATTTTTAAATTAAACAAGGAGGGAAAGAATTAGCAAGACTGCATTGGAAAGCAGCTTATCGCAGAATTTCCTGCACCTTCTTTCACTGTAAGATCTGCCCTAATGAATGGAAAAGGAAACAAAAATAATGAAAACAAATGGTCAGAAATGCTAGATATATTCTGACATATCAAATTGTTTTCTCTGAAATGGCTAACAGAAAATGGCAGTAATTCTTACAAGAAGTAACTATCAGAAAAAATTAAGGTGATTAGGGAATGTTGCTATAATCCTTTCCAACCCCACTAAAAAGATTGTACAGGAAAGAACACAAATCCAGATCATAAACCACAGTATGTAAATGTTGTTATCTGTGAAAATAGTGATCATATTCCAAATATTGGAAGCAGCAATCCCAATTTCTCTCTCCCAAATTTACAATCAAGTAACATAACCATTTTTAAAATAAACATTTCTCAGCATAGAATTAGGCATATCCTCACATGGGATGCTTTGCTTGCGAATACTGGGAAGGGTAAAATCAACTTATGACCATATTACTCCATAAAGGGACTCATTTACTTTAAACATTGTCACAATAGTAAAGGTAAAAGTTTCCCCTCACGTTAAGTCTAGCCGTAGCTGACTCTTGAGGGTGGTGCTCATCTCCATTTCTAAGCCGAAGAGCCAGAATTGTCCATAGACACCTCCAAGGTCATGTAGCCAGCATGGCTGCATGAAGTACCATAACCTTCCCGCAGAAGTGGTACCTATTGATCTGCTCACATTTGCATGTTTTCGAACTTCTAGGTTGGCAGAAACTGGGACTAACAGTAGGAGCTCACCCCACTCCCCAGATTCAAACTGCCAACCTTTTGGTTACAAGTTCAGCAGCCCAGTAGTTTAGCCCACTGTGCCACCAGGGGCCCATTGTAGTAGTAGTAGTAGTAGTAGTAGTAGTAGTAGTAGTAATAATAATAATAATAATATACTTTATTTATATTCCGCTCTATCTCCCCGAGGAGACTCAGAGTACATATATGGCAAACAGTCAATGCTATTATACAATTAACAACAAGGACAGACAGTACAAAGACAGAAGCAAAAGAGTCCCCCTTTCCATCTCCAGCATCTAGAGGCTGTGCTCAACTCCAGCCATGGGGAGGTGCTCTTGTTCCATTTTCCATGCCGAAGAGCCTGTTGTCTGTGGACAACTTTCTGATTGAATTGAATGGGCACCTTTTGCCTCCCCACCAAATGGTACCTATTGATCTACTCACATTATTGTTTTTTAACTGCTAGGTAGGCAGGAGGTAGGGCTAATGGTGGGAGCTCACCCCAGCGCACGGCGTAAACTGCCAACCTTCTGGTCAGCAAGATTTTCTGCAGCTAGCGGTTTAGCCTGCTGTGCTATCGCAGCCTATTTCCCAATCAGATGTTTCTTGAGGATAGCTTGCACTTTTAAGAACTTTTTCTTTGAAAATAACCTCTGTATAAAGCTGGTTACCTATAACAGTCGATGGATCTTTCTTTACATATCTTTTAATCTTACTATTCTTCAATGAACTCATTTTATTCCCACAGTCCCAGGGTTTCCCAATGAGGTCCGTTCTGGGTGTACATTCAACTGAAAGTTTCCAGTCTTCATTCTGCTGAATAGCCCTTAATCTCCCACACAATGAAAAGTCAATGGAAATATAATAAAAATGGTATAGAATCATATCTCTCATTCAGAAAAAATGGCAATTATAATGTATCAGCCTGCTGTTTAGTGGTAACCTATGAAGACTTATGTGACATCTTTAAGATTAATAGATTTATCATAGTGTGTATATTTATTGCTTTATGTCTCAAACTCAGTTCACAGTGCTCAATATATCCATATAGTCACACATTGAAAACAATCTGAAAAGCTGTTTAAGTCCAGAAAGAGGAACATGCCAGTGAGTTGGGCTCCAACAATGACAGGCATATCCTAGGTTATCAGAGCATGAAATACAAAATTCGCAATGTACATATCTTCAGACTGAAGCAAAATTTGTTGGCTGGCAAAGAGTAAGAAAGCACAGTCTAGAGAGCCTTGTTTTCTGATTGGGAGACACCCAGGAGGTGTCTAATCTTTCTTGGCTTGGCTTCTGCTGCAATTAATCTTTCTTAAAACATTCCCTCTTTTATAGGTCATCAGTTACAGTTTCTCAGCTATTATCTCTGAGAAATAGGTCAATGATTCATTTACTGGCCAGCTTGTTAATGGATTTACAATGCTAGTATTAATCTGCACACTCACAATTGAGCCAGTTGTTGTTTGTTTAATAGTGACCATGTATATCAGGGTGCTTTAAGTTGACAATATCGCAATGAAGAGCTTTGCTAGGCAGAAACAGGAGAGGGAAAGGAACTCTTACAGAAAGGATTTAAGAGACAGCTCAGTCCTAAATATGTCTACTTAGTAGTAAACACTGCTGATCACCACTTAATGTTTTTCCAAGTACATTTTTCTGGCAGCCAGTATTGGCTAAAAACAATTTTCCCAGACCATGCTGGTTAAAGCTGATAACCCCATCCTTTCTAAGAGACAGTGATGAAGAAAGCAGGGAGTTGACCAGGTCTTAATCTCTCGCTGCACACAGATCCCATCTCCATCATTTATTCTACAGAGTCCAGAAATATGTATACAGTATTGCACAGAAACGGATTTTAGCCAGGTCCCATGCAAAAGAGACACAGGCAAGAGGAAAAAGGAACAGAAAGACTTTACTCTTATCAGCAGAGATGAAACATAAACTTGCAGTGTTGCATACAAAATCAAACAGTGCAACAAACTTACGTAGTCGTTGTAAGTAACACGGAATAAGGCTTCTTCATCTTCATTCAAATGAGAGAGCAAAACATAAACATTGAGTAAATAGCTATTCCACCATAGCAAAGAGCATCACTGTTAGAGCATAACAGCATTACAGCATATTGCTTCTCCAAACTGTATTCTAAAATCCATACAGTTATATCCCACCAAGTGTGGCCCAAACATGCTGGCTGACCTACATTACCAG